GGGGGGGTGGGAGGGATTTGAACATTAATCTGATGTAGATTATACAGCTGCCTCCCTCTCTCTGTCCTTCTCACTCTTTCTCTTCCTCTCTCTCCCTTTCTTTCTTTCTTTCTTTCTTTCTTTCTATTTCTTTCCCTCCCTCTCCTTCCTGCTTCATCTCTTCAAGAAAGTGAACATAAAGTAAAAACAGAAAGAGAGAGAGAGGCAGAGAGAAAAAGCTCCCTGAAGAGGGAAGCCCCAGCAGCCAATAGCTGTTTGGATTTCACTGGCGCTGCCTTTCTTGCTTTGCTCCCAAGGAATACCTTTAATGGAATCAATTGCTTCGGTTTCTTTGTAACAAGTCCACCGGAAAGGCAGACTTATGGGCAACTGTGTGAAGTCTCCACTGAGAAACCTCTCAAAAAAGGTATGTTCCCCATCAAAGTACATTTTGCGTGTTTCGGATCCTGCTTCTTGGAATGGCTGACATGGGTAGGTGGGAAGGGGAAGGATTAAGGAAATATCTCTGCGAAGAGTTCAGTTCCCTCTGTCATCTTCTCCCTAAGAGCTGTTCATTCAAGTGCTGAACCCAGGATGTTGAATGCCATAACTTATATGTAAATGTGTGTGTGTGCATATGCACACAATTGCGTACTTGCTTTTTTGTGCAAGTGTGCATAAGTGTGTGGGCACATGTGTACATGTTTGTTTATACATCCACACATGAGTAGGTGCATATATTTGTGTGGATATGCATGTTTGCAAATTCAAGTGCATCTGTCAGGGAGTATGCATGTGAGTGTATCAAAGTATATGGTGTTTTTATGTGCATATGTCACATGCGCATGGGCGTGTAAGAGCACGTTAACTCCTTAACATATGTTCCTGTTACAGTGTATGCAAGTGAATACATGAATGAGTGAGTAAGTGTGTCAGGTATATGTGTGCACCTCCTCTGTAGGTGCGTTCACTTCCATGAACTTGTACATACATAATTTGTGCAACGTTTATGAATACATGTGAAAGGACAAAAATGTAAGGATATGTATGAGTGTGCATCCACATATATACATGTGTATGTGCATGCCTCTGTGTATGCCTGCATGTGTGTGCACTTGTTTTTAAGATCTCACAGAGGAATATATGCAAGTATGCTGGAGCTTTTGTGTGCATCCATGTACCTGTATGTGCCTCAAGTGTTTGTCTATAGGTGTGCCTGCCTTCTGAGGAATGGGCACACAGGCCCAGAGATGAGCATGAGCTTGTGAACAGCCAAGTATGTCCCCTGTATGTGTGTTCATGCCTTCTCTCATGTGTCAGCACACCCTGCGTGTACACATGTTCATGCTCACGTCTGCATGCATGTGCATATGCCATGGTTATCTGTCGCCTTTAACCCATGGGCTGCTTTATGCTTAGATCACAGAATGGTTCAGGGATGAATTAGACTCGGGAGCCAACTGCCATTAGGGGCTAAATTGAGGCAATGAGTCTCCTTGGTCATGTCATTTATCTAACTAGGGAAGGAGTTCAGCCAGTGGGTGAGAGCAGAATTCATCTGGAGGTGCTGAAATGAATAATAATTCACCAAAAAGAAAAACCCCATGTTCCTTAAAAAGGTAGGGTCATAATAGGCACTGAGAGACCATTTTTAAACTGCAGACTTACCATGCCATGAAGCAGCATCCTCAAACACAGTGCAAGAAACATCACGCACTGCCTTCTTGGACTGGAAGCAGTGTAGCCGAGTCCCCACAGTGCCAAGGAAAAGCTAATTGGCTCTCCCTCAGCAGACCTAATTAACCCATCCTTGGCACAATGTGGACATGGCATCCTTGCTTCCGAGAAGTAAGGAAGCACCTTCAGGGGCTGTACGGAGCGTTTTCGGGCACTGCTGCTGGGCACAGTCAGCTTTCAGTCTGAGCATAGTGGTCTGCAGTGAGAAGCCTCCCAGACCCAAAGCAGAGACCCTGCTGGCAGCGGAAAGGCAGAGCCACAGAGAAGCTCGTGGTGTGGACGCCATGCTGTTAGTGAGCCAGCACACGCCACAAAGCAGCTCAGTGTGCCAAGGCACAAGACGGCAGTGAAATAGCCCCTCGGGAAGAAAGCACAAATAGTGGAGGATTCATTGGTAATAAAATGGCACCTCCCTGAGAATTCAGTGTGCTGATGCCTGCAATTAAATGTTGCTGCTGTACAGAAGTTCACGGCAGGAAGGCTTCTTTAGCAGTGGAGGTTTTTTTTAATGACAGATTTACCACTTTATGGGAAAAACAGCCTAGTGCTACCTCAAATCCCACAATACGGTATACCCATGAGTTGTGCCGTCTTGCCTGGTAGTGGCAAAGCACTGCTGTGGAGGGAGGAACCCACCCGAGCAGGGCCCCACTGTTTTGTGGTGTCTGTATGCAGTGAAGGAATTCATTCCAGAGCAGTTCGTCAGCACTGAGCTGTTTCTTCTGGTCAGTGTGACCCCAAGGAAGAAGCAGAGGAGGAACTTGTGGGTCAGTCAGCTGGAAATACCTGAACTTCGCACATGTGAAAAGGTCACACTGGCTGTTTGTGAGCTGCCTCCCATGTGCATAAAATCGAACAGACTGCAGCTGCTCTTGTCTTTAATGTGGAGATGTGGCTTGTGGCGACTGTAGTTCCCAGCACGCATCGTGGCCTGGTACTCGGATCGAAATGAAACGTTGCATTCTGGGTTTTTCAGGATCTCTCTAGGGAATATCTTTGTAGTCATTTACTCCTTTGTTCCTATGAGCCACTTATAAAGATGCAATTTTCACATTAGTACAAAGGCTGGGAATGAAAGGGTTAAAGATGAGAGCAACCACAGACTGAATTACAGGATTTTGCAAAGTCCACTTTAGCCAGTTTGAAATAAGGCCCCATGGCCCATTCCTCTGAGGTGCTGAGTCCTCTCCACTCCTGCTGATTTCAGCGTAATCTGGCTTTAGTCACTATCTTGCAGGATTGGACTTTGAGCTATCATGACCTCAGGCTACTATTTAGTATAGCCCTCCTCCTCATTTCCTCAGGTGTAGGCCTTGGCAAGCAGAGGGGGAACTGCAATAAGGAAGAAAAAAAGATGGGAGACAGACTGAATTAAGCTTTGTCAGGGAGATTCTGCCAATTTCCCCCAAGCTGAAACTCCACTGCATGTTCATGTCCTGTTTTGAGACAGAGAAACCGCCTACATTATGATGGTGCCAAGCCAGGGCCACCCAGGTATGGTCAAGTGTTCTTTACTTGCAGTCAACAGGCTGCTGTAGGGGAGAAGCCTAGAGGCCTCTTGCATTTGATAAACATCCCCGCAGGGAGAGAGAGGATGGCTTTTCCATGATGCAGATCCTGCCCCTAGTGCTTTCCTTGAGCTTTGTTGACATAATTTCAAACAGAGAAGGGGACAAAAAGGGCCCCAGTGAAAAATAGTTCTCTTTTACTCAGGCCGTCTCCCTTAGCAGCTTCTCTCACTACTGTGATCCCAGCACTTGGTGTGCTGGAGACAGTAAATCTGCGTGTACATGAGAGAGGATCTTGGCATAGCCAAGCTGAGACATCCCTGGTAGCTTAGGTGGAGGAGGAAGTAATAGAAATGCTGAGTTTGAAGGCTAGCCTGAGATAGCAGGGAACCATCTCCCTTTGATCTCTGGCAAATGGCAACATAAAACAGAAAGAGTTCAGAATAACTTAAAGCAATGAAGATGGCTCAAGGGCTGGACTGAGGACTGGTTTCTGGAGCCCTTCCCATCTGCAGCGCTGCCTCAGAGCTGAGTATCTTGAGCTCAAACCTCATTCCCATCCAGTACGTTGTTGTACATACTAGTGTGTGTGTGCAGCAAAAAGCACCAGTATCACTTACACTGCTTGGCAGTCTCAACAAAGACATAAAGGTCGTAATGGCAATACATCTTGCCCTTCCAGAGTGTCTGTGTGTTGGGATCGGGCACGTTGGCAAGGGAATGTGTTGGAGTCTGCCCCATTTCTTCCTCTGCTGTGGATAAAAAGCTACTGGGCTCTCCGTCTGACATCTTTCCCCAGTTCTGCAGCCACTTTTGGGAAGCACCCTAGCTTTCTTTCCACTGTAGGACCTGGTGCACAGACCAGCCAAGTATTCCAGGAATGGCAGTGGAGGAGCTTGAGGCCCCTTGCTTATCTTGCTCCTCTCAATGCTCAGGTCAGCGTGTTGTTGCTTCTCCCACAAACAGGTGGCTGGCCTCATTGTGCCCTATATCTCTGTCAGAGCCATCTCTTATTCCTTGGCTTCATGTGTTTACAAGGAAGAGGGGGAGGGGAGGCTTTCCAGCAGTTCACTGGGAGGCAATTCAGCAGCAGGAGCAAGTGGTGCTGTAGGGCAGTTCTGTGCGAGCCCTAACTGATCCATGAGTGGTGCCAGCAGAGAGTGGAAGGGAGGGCATGTGGCATTAGATGAGGACAGAGAAGTGTCATTCCCATTACCTACCCAGCCGGTGGATCTGTGGCTTAATCCCCTTCTGGTCTGTTCTGCGTCTCTGGCAGTTATTGCATCAAACTGGTAATTTTTGTGCATATATGAAAATAACAGGGTAGGCTCCTGTTTGGTACAACTACAGTCACTTCATAATCAAGTCAAGTGGTTGGAAGGCTAAAGAGGATTTCATCTCTCATTTGGTTCTCAAAGGAGTTACACCTGGGGCACGTTTGGCCTGACAATTTGACATGTGTATTTTGTCCTTAAACTGTACAGCATCATGCCGACTCCATGACAATTAGCAGAGCCTGTGATGTGCCAGGTGTGGATTGATGCTCATCTGTTATATTTTTAAGGACAAGCTCCCCATCTGCCATGTATAATCAGGTGAAGAGTTTCCTTCTCATCTGTGATTGCAATTAGAACACTGTCGTGCGTCATCATTTCCTTTACTTCATGGTTTTCTTTTTGCGTTGTTTTGGTTTTGGTGCTTTTGCTTGATATTCACATGGCATTATACATGAGCAGATTGCCTCAAGACTGTGTTTAAAAATGTAAACTACAAACCATGTGTGCAGTACAATAACATATGGCAGGCACAGCAAATAGATGCAGTAAGTGTGGGCGAGCATGAATGGGGTGCGCATGTGGCTGGCTTCTTAGCCTGGAAAGAAGTATGTGATTAAGAGTTAATACAGAGAGTTAATATAGAGAGAGAGGCAATAGCTGTTGCCAGAGCTGCTCTCATGACCTCTAGAAACATTATCTATAGATGTGGGAGCTCATTCCTGAAGCAGAAAGTGGTGTACAGTTAATGTTTTTGTATAAAACCAAGGGTCCTGTGGGTAGGGCTGGCTTTTTATAGCTGCATGGGAATACCAGGAGAAGATGAGCCATGGAAAAGCATGTCTATATTAGGAAAGCAGTGACTTCTTATAGAATCGGATGTTGGATTCTATTCTAGAGCCCCGTTTGCTGGGCTGTGTGGACTTCTGAGAGCGGTCTGTGAAAATGCAGAGCAGACAAGGGTAGCGAGATGGTGGCTGGCGGACTCTGAGGCTGTAAGAGGCCAGAAGAGACTGATATTATAATCGAACAAGCATGTAACTAATTAGGATGGTAGTTCACTGGGAATGTGAGACAGCACCTGGATAAGCCTGCTGACACTGTAAATGATCCTCTGACAGTATTACTAAAAATCTGATGCAGGTATTTATGCACAGTTGTTAAACTGTGTTGCCTGAACATGAAGACTAACACAATCTCTCTGCCTGGTGTTCAGTTGAGGCCCCTGAATAGTTTTCCTGTGCTTGCAGACTCATATCTTTATATCTGGGTATGCTAGTCCCTTTCAGCCCACACATAAAATTATTCACTCTGGGGCTGGAAGTGGGAGGGATAGGAGATGTTCACTTTCTATCGTGGCCTTTTTGTCTGTAGCTAAAGCGATGTGTGCTGCTTTGAGAGTTTGATGCCATTTCAAAGTGAAATCCTCCATGGTGGCTAGACGTTTATCAGCCATTGAAAGCAAACTCGGTTCCTGCTGCTTCAGTACAAACCTGTAATAGATTCAAGGGGGAACCTAGACTGGAGTGATCAAGGACATGTAAGGCTAATGACTCTACTAGGCAGTCCAGTAAAACATCAGAGCAAAGACTGAGACAAATAGGGAGGTAACTTCCTCTATTGTATTGTTTACTTGCTGCTGATTGGCTGGGAAGATCCGGCATGAGGAGAAGACGTGCTATAAAGCTGTCCAGACGAGCGAGGAGGGGCCGTCGGCCTGCGAGTACCAGGGTCCACTCATGGTGCTAGCCCAGAACTGCGCCGTCATGCACAACCTGCTGGGGCCCGCATGCATCTTCCTGAGGAAGGGCTTCGCAGAAAACAGGCAGCCTGTACGTAAGTTATACCTAGCCGGGCGAAATACGCAAAGTGCAATGCACACATGCGCGGACATACAGCCACACACGTGTTCCTGTGTATATGGAACTTGGAAATCCCCCAGCCTTGCAGACTAACGTGCATATGCAGTCATATGAACTGAAGGATGTGCAGAGAAATTTGGCATCTAAATATCAGGTGAAGAATATATCACATGGGGGACAGATTTGTGCCCACTCAAACAGGCACAGACTCAAGCACACCAAAAGAAAGCAGTGTTCACATTTGATATTCCAGTGAGACATCCACATCTTGTATATGGAGGCTCAGGTTAGCACATAGGGCCGAAATATTAAAAGCCTGATTAGAATGCCTCTGGGAACTGACTGTCCCATTGAGGTGCCCAGATTTGATACTGGCCACACCTATACACAAGTGAGCACACTCTATGTGCCGAAACAAATAGCCATCTATGTTCACAGTGACATGCAAGTTTTGACACATACGTACATTTGTGTGCAATTTCAAACATATGCACTTGAACATGCTAAATATAGAGATGCGCTTCCATCTGTGCATTCATAGCAAGTAAGGTATACATTACTGTAAACTCAAAATACATACAAACGTTTCATCGCTATATTTAAATGCATATATACAGACACAATTTTATTAACATACACAGATTATACATATAAATAGATGGACATAAATGCATGTTCTTATTCACTTAAAAGACCCCTAGTGTAGACACCAGGCTTTGTGTATCCCAAAGGTAGTCCCCAGCCAGCTGAGCTGAAAGAGAATCACCCTTGGTAGCACTCATCATAGGGCTTTTATCCTCTGCAGCCTCTAACCTCAAGTGCCATTTACTGTATAACCTCTAACCTAAGGTGCCACATATTTCCTTAGGCAGTTCATTAAAGTGCGTACAGTGATATTTTCACACAAGCATACACTTATACTAGCACATAAGCAGCTATACAATCACATGTTCAAGCCAACAAGTGGATCCAAATTCCATGTAGAATGCTAGTAGCTGACAGGTGTCTGTGTCCATTTTACTCAGACTTTGAGAATCCATATCATATGGGGTTTCAGAAAGGATTGGGACATCTCTGACAACAGCCCTGCTATGGAGTGAATGTATTTGATAAACAGATGCGTTCCTTATTTTCTCTTTAGACAGCAGGACTTTGTGCATATGACAGAACACCGTGTATTAGTGTGGGAAATTTTCCTCTACCTGACTGCTTTCTAGTCACCTCTAGTTCATTCATAGGGTCTAAACTTTTTGAGCAGGTGTATGCCTTTTTCCATCTGTTCTCCTCAGAAGCCTTTAAATGATTTGGCTGATTTCTTCTTGGGCAGATGTTTTCCCATTTAATCATTTTAAGGGATCTTCCTTTGGATTTTAAAACGGCAAATCCTCTTGTGACTTTTCGTGACCCCAGTTACTACTTGGTTCAGATTTGCCAATGGGCCTGAGCTCAGAGCCCTGCACACGCAGATGCCTTAGGGTGCAAAAATAGAGCCCATGCATAAAAACCCAGGAGACTTCCTCTTGGAAACTTGGTGTGTTAATGATGCTGGCTATAAGATGGCCTTAAATGCCAATGCTGATGTGACTGGGAGGAGAGGCGGTCTGGTGGTTCCAGTAATGGAATAGGGCTCGGAAGAGCTGGGTTCTACTCCAGACACTGTTGCACACTGATGAGTAACCTTGGGTGAGTCATGATGTCCTTCTGTTCAGCAGAGATGATAATGATACTTCTGCGTCTTGAACTGTGTTCAGGAACCCGCTGGTGCTCGATAATAACTCCAGGGTTTAATGCACTCCTGCTTGCAGAAGTCCTTGAGGGGAGGTATACAAAGTGTTGTTATTGATCCTGTGCCTCTGTAATTCATTATGATATCACAGACAGGAAGGCAACAAGGCCTCCTGTCTGGTCTCAAGGGTCTGAATTGTTTTACAAATCAGTATTAATGAAAGCAGAAGAAATGGGATGACATGTTTGAAGTTACCAGATCTGTGAAGGATGAAACTGGAGCCAGAGGTCTCTGAAAGTTTCATCCAACACAGAGATGCCTCTGGGAAGGTTATGAGTGGCAAGCTGATCACTTCTCTGGCACAGCCCCTCTTTGCACAGACATAAACCAGTATGTGTCCTACTTTGCTGCATATTCCAGGCAGTCATTGTTAGCATTACCAGAGAAGCCTGTGGTTAAATAGCAAGAGCCCATCCTTATCGAACTGATTGAGGGCACAGTCTCCAGGGATCTGTGATGATACTGCAGAACCCCTGGGAGGCAAGGCAAAACACCCAGAGGTCAAGGAGAGAAGCCAAGACTCAGATGAGAAGGGAAGTTATTTCTCTGTTGTTTCCAAATTCTGAGCTATTTGGATTTGCCTGGGAGCCATGAATGGAGTTAGAAAGGGCTTTTACTAACCAGAAAGCAGTGCATTTCCATGCGTATCTCTTCTTCCTCTTGGTGCAGCCTCTGGAATTTCCTGTATTCTTTACATCCCCTCCTACAAAGAAACACAAATTGGATGTTTGAAGTTGCAGTGTTTCCTTATCATGGTGAATCTTTGTCCTGTTTTGTTTATAGATGACCTTGCTGCTGTACATTTTGTATCCTTGCCTACATGCCCAGTTTTAAAATGCTTGTTTTTGGAATTGAGTCTGGGGGGAGCTCACAGCTTCTACACTTCCTGCCTCTCTCAGGGGGAGGGGCTGTAGGGAATGTCACCGGAGCACTGGCTGTGGGAGAGCTCATGGCTACCTCTGGTTTTGCTGGGAGGGCTGTAGAGAATGGTGTAGACTTGCTGGTTGTGGAGCTAGCTTGCAGCAGTTCTAATCTCAGACATGCCCAACCAGAGTTACTGTAGTTAATATAAGAGCTGCAGAGGAACTCGTAACTGCTGCAGCACCCATCTCTACCACCTGGAGTCAATGGAAGAGAATGATGTAGGAGCTCATAGGGTCCTCTCATCCATCTGGAGGGGAATCCCTTTGAGAGGCCTCTGCTGTCCCCTCCTTTTTGGTGAGTGCCCATCTGGCCAGCAGGCATGATGGAGCAGGGCTTCCATAGAGAAGTGTAGAGGCAGCTGCTGGCCCTCTCCTTTTTGGAAGGAAGTGATGCAAAGCCTTGCTGGCTAGATGGTATTAAACATGTCATCATTTTCCTGTTTCTTCTCTCACTTTCTGGTCTCCAACCTGTCTGCACTCATGACTGCTGTTCTGACACTGCCTCCCTATAAAACAGCCAGTGTTAACCATATAATGTTCTCTCTTTGCAGGACAGAGAACTGCGACCAGAAGAAATTGAAGGTATTGCTTTATCTCTCCCCTCTCTATCTTCCTTTCTCCCTAACCAACACATACTGAATAGCCACCAGAAACTGACCATCTAGAATAAAGCAAAGGGCAGGAGCTTATTTATATCTGCCCCTAAAAAACATTTTAGGGAACAATATGGGACTACAAGCCACAGGAGAGCTGTATACACTGCAGCTCCTGCAGAAAGAGGGTAGGCTGTAGAGTAGGTGTTCTGGCTATTGAGAGCTGACAAGTACTCCAGCTCCTGAAGAAGGAGCATACTGCCTCGCATGGGAGTGTGCTGATGGGGGGGAACTGATGTACACTCCAGTGTCTCCAGGAGTGCATGTAAAGTCTAATGTGGGAAAGGTGCTGTCTGTGGGGGAGCTGGCATGCTCCAGCTGCTGCAGGACTGTAGCGAGCAGTGTGGGAGTTCTGGCTCAGTGACAGCTCAGAGACTGCAGTCTGAGCAATCTTAGCTGGAGGGAATAGTACAGTAGTACTGATTGTGGGGGGACTCATACTTCCTCTGGTCCCAGCCTCCCTGTGGGTAACTTGCACTGAGAAAAAACATCTTCTTGGGGATCATGTCTCAGAGCCTAGTACCCTGACAAGCTCCTGACTCTTTGTGGAGATGCCCTGGGAAATCCACCTAACGCCATCGCTGACAGCATTGTCCTTGTTGGATTCACTCTCACAGAACTACGAGAAGCCTTCAAGGAGTTTGATAAAGACAAGGATGGGTTTATTAACTGCAGGGACCTGGGGAACTGCATGCGCACCATGGGCTACATGCCTACTGAGATGGAGCTCATAGAGCTTTCCCAGCAGATCAATATGAACCGTGAGTAATATCCACCCACTGGCATGTTCCCTGTCACTTCAGTGGTTTCTGCCTCCATGCTTTCATCTCTCCCTGACAGTCTCTTGTTCTCATCTGTTCTGTGGTTCTTCTTTACTCTTTCTTTGTTCTTTTGTCTGCCTGCCTGTCTGTCATCCTGTTGCTCTGTTAGTCCATCTGTCTAGCTGTCTATTCTAGGTCCATCAGTCAATTTACTTTTCTCCAGGCTACCAGCCTTTCTGGTTGGTGTATAGGAGGAACATGTGGAAGGGGATGCCATTTGGATCTGCATAGTCAAGTGTTGCTCTCAGCATGTCGGTGATGAATGTTGTTTTATTAGACCTGGTATCTAGAAGGTGTCGGGCTTGGAGGTCTGTGCTGAGAAGGGAGGCTGGGTCATGATTACAGAAAGATCCTTTGGGGTTAGTGTAGTGATGTGTGCAGGAGCAGTGTGCTGGGGTGTTTTTTTGGGTGTTGCCATGCGCAGAGGAGTTAACTTAGAGGTGGGGGTGGTGCTGGGTTGCAAAGCAGCCCTCCTTCCACCTACTATCAGATGAATCAGTTCTAGTGGAATAATGGGGGAATGTGTTTGCAAACAGACCTGGGATTCGCAGTGGCTTTATTTGTGTTCTTTTTTTTCTCCATCAGTTCTTTTTCCATACTCTGGCCTGTGGCAGTGCTGTACAATGCCCACATTCACATGTACACAGGAGTATTCACTGTATTTTCTGTTGTGCTCTCTGGTCTTCAAAGTGTTAGTCATCCATTCAGGGAAGAGAAGCGGTACCATGTGATTTAAATGACCAGTCATGCATAACAAAGAGCTGATAATCCTGGTGCTCCATTCCCAGTCAGTCCACAGGCTGTCCTTAACTCAGCCAGGTGGTCTGATGGACAGGTAGGCATTCTAGAAAGTTCCCTCTGATTTGCAGATAGGACACCAACAGGAAGAAGGCTGCATCTTTTGAATAAATGGTTTTGATGGAATGGTGCATCATCCCAGGGGGTGTATTCTGTCCCCTCCTTTAACAAGGTGCAGGGCCATACAGGAAGAACTCCCTTAGTGCTTGTATGGCACAAAGTTGCCATACTCTGCATCCCTGCAAGTCCTAGCGTAAGGAGCAGCCCCATAGTGCAGGCTACCCCAAGGATTTGGGGCTGTTCTGCTCCTCATAGGCAGCCTAGAATGGAGAAGCTGGAGCCAATTCAGCCCAGCCCAGAGTCCGGAAAGTGCAAAGATGCAATAAAGCCACCTTTGCTTAACTTCCCCCTTGCCTGCACTGTCAGTACTGCCCCTCCTGGAGAAGCAGACCCTCTGCCTCCAACGTGTGGCCACTATCCAGTGGAAGGTGTAGGTGGGGTGTTACCCTGAGCACTTTGGCATCACTAAATTAGAAGCATCTATTAATGTCTGATATGCAAACTTTCCTCTTGTCCCAAGAGGGTGGCCATGTGGATTTTGAAGACTTTGTGGAGCTCATGGGACCAAAGCTTCTGGCAGAAACTGCAGATATGATTGGTGTGAAGGAACTACGTGATGCCTTCAGAGAGGTGAGTACCACGTTCTGGGTGACCCTTTGAATGAGGTAAGTGCTCTGTCCTGGGCCACCTCTCCTCACAGGTAAGCCTCTGCCTCTGGACAAGCTCTTCCAAAAGGTGAGCACTCCCCTTCTCTGACACAAAGATTGGAGAGAGGGTATGGGCAAAAGCAGGAAAGAGAAGACCCAGTGGGGAGGAAGAGGAGAGAGCAAATATAGCAAGGAAGGAGATATGAGAAAAAAAATCCAAACATGGAAGAAGGAAAACACAAGGAGAGAAACAGGGAACAAAGTGTCCAGAAGGGGAAAAGAGGGAAGATGGGATGTGTGGACTCCCTGAAGAGAGGGGATGACATGAACCAGAGCAGAAGAAAGAGGCCAAGGAAGGAGAAGAGAGAGCCAAGAGGGACAGTAGGGACCTCCAGGAGGAATTGATACCTCAAGTAGGGGAAGACACAGGGTCCAGTCTGGAACCTCTGGCTGCTGAAAAAGGTAAGACAGGCTTCACTCCAGTTGACTGTTCCTCCTGCTGGCATGTGTTGTGTCCCTGCAGTTTGACACCAATGGTGATGGAGAGATCAGCACTAGTGAGCTTCGGGAGGCTATGAAAAAGCTGTTGGGGCAGCAGGTGGGCCATCGAGATATTGAGGAGATCATCCGGGATGTGGACCTGAATGGAGATGGGCATGTTGATTTTGAAGGTGAGAGGGAACGCACCCCTGCCCCCTTCACTGAGATGTGGCAGGTTTTCAGCTCAGCAGCTGGCTCATAGCCCTGCTCCAGGAATGGAGAACAGGAAAAGATCAGCATGGGGGCAGCATGACTTCTGCTTAGTATTCCCAGCTTCCTCTTTGGGGCCCAGATATCTGTCCTGTAGGCTACAGGGAGAGAGGCAGCTGGCTATGAATCTCCTGGGGTTTCCCCTGGGTGGGTGAGGAGACTGGAGGAGAGATAGCTAAGATCAGAAATCCTTGGATTGTGAGGTTTGTCTGTAGAGATTTTCTCACTGTTTATCAGTGTCAAGCATGGATCTTGAGCTATGAGAGATTGCCCCTGTGAGAGAAGCATCCACTGCGTGGCATGTGTAGCACCAGACATCTCTTGATGGGCCATTTCTGTTTCCTCTTTGACCATTTAAAAGGGCCTGGGTTTCATATTCTCTTTGCCTAGCTAGGTTTGCTATTTCCCTTGCTGCAGCTGTGGATCATGATATTTGGGTTTTATATACGTTTTTATTTTACATATTTCTCCTGGAAGACAGTCCCTTGTTAGACTCATTTGCTGACTCATCATATATACATGACCTAGTGGCTCTATGTGTGTCTCACTGAGGGATCCCAATTTGAATCCAGACTTGGACTTTCATTCTCCGTGCAGGAAGGAGCTGGGAATAGTGAGCAAGTGTTATACTACTGCCTGTTACTTCATGGCAGCCTCAGCTTTCATTTAGGAGTGCTGTTAAAGGTTCTTGTAATGGAGTTCAGACTTCAGTCAGGGAAGAGACTAGTGATCAGACATGCAAAGCAGTTAGGGGATAGGTTTATGAACAAGATTTGGGTTGGGGAAGGTATTTAAAAGGGTGGCAAGCTGTTTCCTAGTATTTTAAAGCATCTCTTAGGAAAGTGGTTCCCAAACTAGTCTGCACTTGGTGGTGATGCAGAGGCCTGACAGGTCATAAGGCATTTGCACTACTTGTTTCCAGCTACTAAATTGCATCAGACAGCTACAACTCATAGAAATACCATCCTGATATTATTTTTCCGTGTGAGCAATTGCTGTGGTTGCCCAAGGGCAACTTCATGATTAAAAGAAATATGTCCAGGAGACAGTTTCTAAATTAAGATTAAATCCATCTTATTAAGACCTTGAATACATGTCTCAAAAGTAAACTGGCCTGTTTTTTTTCATTCCTAGGCAAATTGAGTGCAAAATTAAAATGTGTTCAGATCGAGTAGCATTTTACATTCCATTTCCATAGAAGTAATTGATTCCTCAAACAATATGTGGTAGAGAAACAGGCCAAGGACCTCCCTGAAGTTCAAATGTATCCTGAAGACTGCAGCATCTATCAAACAAATTGTTTCCACAGAAAGTCAAGTATCTCCTCAAGCTGCAGTACTCCCATGTATTTAGTGCTTCCCTAACATGGCAATATCTCACTGAAACCGCAGCATGTTCCCAAAACTGCTATAACTCTATAAATCAATGGTTCCCTAAGCAGCCTTCTCTTCCTGAAATTATGGTGGAGTCTGAGAAGATGCTATCTGTTATACTGTCTACTAAAGAGTTTATTGAGAAAATAAGCTATCACATAGTTTTAGGGCAGGAGTCCCAGCTGATAAACTGCCCTGGCTAGTGAGATCTTGTAACCCTAGCAGTTTGGTAGGAATCAAGGTCTATTTTGTGTTAACTCTCCAGAGTCAGCAAAGAAGCAAAGCAGATCTGGGGAGTGTGGGTGCAGCTTTCTAGCCTTTCCTTATTCCACTGCCATCACAGTTTCTCAGGATAAGAAGAAGCAGGGCAAGGGGGATTGATGCATTAGTTGCTCGGCTTCAGGCTCTCTGATTTTTCATTGGCTGCAGAGTTTGTTCGGATGATGTCCCGTTGAAGGTTATTCTCAGCTGAAGAAGGAACCAGCACCTTACAGAGGGCAGAAGAGGACCTAAGTGGAGCATCTAGCCCCGATGTTGCCACACAAAGGTTAACAGGCTGGCTGCATTTGAGACAGTGCAAGGCAACCCGCCTCTCCTCCCCTAAAGTGGTCCCCACGTCCTTCCGCCCTTTCACACTGTGAAAGACTCGCAACCTCCTACAACTGGAAGCGTTCCTCAGAGATGACGACTGCCGGAAGCTGCAGAGCCAGGACTCGCCACGATGCTGGGACATTTGCAACTTTAGACACCTCCTCCCCTGCTTTTTAATCACCTGCCAACTGCTGCAAAGCAAGCGAAAGAGAGACCGTATCAGATGGGTGGACAAGAGTTAAGCCCTCTGGGATCGGTGGTGGCAGCAGGGTGTGCTGTGCACCTCTTGGTTTCCCTTGGTGACCCATGTCTGTTTTTGTGGTCTGTGTGTGTCTATCTGTCTGTGTGGAGTTATTTATGCCCCCGGTAAATTCTCCTGTCTCCTTTTGGTTATATTTACTAAGAGCAAATACAAATATACATTTGGGAAAAACAGAAAAGAGATAAATATGCAAGCTGAAGCTGTGTGAAGTCCTGAGGTTTCTGTGGGAGGCAGGGGGCAGGCTGGGGGTGGGAAAACAGCTGACAGATCCACTCTGGGCCTGTGGTGTAGTCAGAGGGCGAGCTGGGGCTTGCAGGAGGCTGCTGTTTTGCCTGTGCGCCAGCCCCCATCCCTCTAGCTCCGGCACAGAAATAGGTGCTGAGCATGCACCAGGTGGCAAGGGGTCACAGGCTGGGATATAAGGTCTCTCCAGGGGCACTAGTATCTGGGACTGTGAGGGGAAGCTGTCTGATTGGCACCTTGCCATAGTGCCCTGCCTCCTGGTATGAAGCAGCCAATCAGGCAGTGCCCTCCTTCCCCATCCCTCTGGCCTGGGGTTGCTGACGGGAAGAGAGGGCAGGGTCAGGTGGCTCCCTGCCCTGTCTCTTGGGAGGGACAGGGAGGGCTACTTCATGTCCCCTCCATGCAATACCCTGCCCAGGGAAGGGCAGAGGGTGACAGCCCCTGGAGCTGCCCCCTGCTAGTGCAGCAGACAAGGAGTCCCCCTGTCTGCCCCCCAGCCCACCAGGACAGGGGAGAAGAGGACCCCATACCAGCATTCTGGCCTGGAGGGTGGCGAAGAGCCAGGAACTGCAATGCAGAGCAGAGTTGAGTCTGGGGCACTGGGGAACAGGGGCAGGATTGCAGGGGTGAGGAGGCAGTGTCAGGGCAAAGCAGAGGGGGCTGGGTGATGAGGGAGGTTAGTTGTTTTGAAGGGAGAGACATGGGGGTGGTGACACCCTCCCCCAACTTTTTTACTCACTTCAAACTGAGGACCAGGTATTTGTGCAGCCAGAGGCCTCATGTCCACGGTGCAGCTCTGGAACTCAGTGGAATTGCAGCAGGCGGCCGGACGGCCACGGGGGATCCAGAAGCCTCATGGCCATTTGTCCCTTGTCTTGAGGAAGCGAACCCGAGAGTAGAGTGTGCAGCTCTATAGTCCAGACTGTAACAGCAGCCCCAGGCCCTGCCTGCCCCACTCCTGTACTATCAGGTTCATTGTCCCCTCCCGTCTCCCTCCTTCTCTTCCTCCCTTGGACTGTCCTGTTCCCCACTGTCCCTGACTAGGCAGATGCTGGGGCTGCCCCATTTCTCAAGGCTGTCACTCTTAATAGCTCACTGGACCTAGTTCCCCCTGTTGCTGAAGGAGCACATCTCCCTTTCTTTGGCATCCTGGGGCTATTCTCTTCTCCCCAGCTGTCCATCTTTCCAGGACCAGGCCTCAGGCCTGCTTCACCTGCTGCTGTTTTGTCTCTTCCCCCCAAAACTCTCCAGTTACAAAATTCTGTCTGCCCTAAAGAATGATTTTTCCCCCTGCTGCAGCCAGCATGCCTGCAGCAATGAACAATGTCTAGCAGCAGGAAAGCCACATTATGCCTTATAAGTTACAGCCTGGGGAATTATGCACCTGTGCAATTTTACACACAAAACATATGACCCTGCATAACTGCATAATTTTGCATAATTTAAGACAGGTGGGCTCTGTGCCTCCACCTCTGTGGGGCTCCTAGCACTCCAGCTGGGAGCCCCATGTGGAAGCACCAAGCAAGAGCACGTGGTGGTGCATGACTAGACAGCTGGTGAGTGGGGAGGAAAACTCCTGCCCGCAGTACGGGGCTTATGGCACTGCAGGTGGGAGCCATGTGTTATGGGGCCGGATAGGCTCCATGCCTCCATGTGGGGCTTCCAAGCACTCCAGTAGAAAGCCACACGTGGAGGCACAGAGCCCGCCTGGCCCCATGGCACACAACTCTGGGCCTCCATGTGTGGCTTCCCGCTGGACTACTAGAAGCCCCACTTGGAGGCAAAGAGCCCACCTGGCATGATGGCGTGTGGCTCCTGCCTGCAGTGCCATGAGCCCCATGTGCTGGCATGGAGCCCACCTGGTCTGATATGAAGGTGCATGCCAGCGGGCCAGGCCAGGTCCATGCCCCCATGTGTAGCCCCTGGGACACTGCCTGCTGCAACCATGAATGCCCCAAGGGCCTGCTGCTTGCTGCTGCCACCAGCAGTACACCAATGGGGGGAAGGGGTGCCACAAACCCCACACCTACCCAGATGGGGGTTTTGGCACTGATATTAAGGTTGTAAGATGAAATGTAAAAAAAAGTAATTAATTTTGCATAATTTTGAATGTTCTGTGCATAATTCCCTGGGGCGTAATAAGTATGCATGTGAAGTTGTTTGTACAGGATTATGTATGGGGAAGGACTTGTCTGTAGATAGTTTAAGGAATGTAGGTAGGGAGTGACATGCTGGAAGAGCAAGTTTAGGTGTGTGTGGGTGTATGCATGAAAGCAGCATGAGTGTAAGTGATACAAAGAGGAACATACATAAGCTCATAGGAGATGACGGGAAGGTGCGTCTGACTGCATGCAAGCAAGAGCATAGGCCCATAATATGTGAGGGCCATGCAGATGCCACAGTGATGAGCACAATCAAGAACCCAAGCTATGTATGTGCACATGGTGTGAGGGAAGGTGTACATGCACATGGCATATGCATGTGCCAAGAATATGTGTATGCACCGGAGGGACTGTGGGAGTAAGTGTGCCTGCACGTGGCATGGTGAGTGACATGGTTTTGGGGGTGGGGGTTGGGAAAGAGCCAGTATGCACATGCCTTGAGAATAGATGGGCAAAGCGGCAGCAGTAACTGTTTCTTTGGCTGCCTGCTCCTGCACTGAGCAGCAACATCCCTATGCCTGCACCAACAGATGGTGGGATGTTTTCTTAATTTCTTTAAAAACAAACCATGTGTGATGTCCATATTGCACAGGATTCCCCACAATGCACCATCCCAGCCACAAGGCACATATCTGCTTACTGCTATTGCTGCTGCTGGGTGGGAGTTTACAAATAAACACTGACCCCTGGCACAGCCCTGCCAAACCAGCAGCCAGCACATCATGAGCACACACTACCTGCGTGGCTGGGAGCCACTGACAGACAGATTGAGGAGCTGCTTCTTTCTGGTGACAAGGGAGACCCACAACCATTTTCATTGTGGGGAGAAAATTTAAGTAATTTGTGTGTCACTTGGGAAAGTCAGGTCTGGCTCTTGCTGGGTGGAGATGTTGGGATGTACACACTGTGCCATTGTGCTAGCCACATCATTGCAGACTAGGGTAGGAGAGTCTGGGTGTCAAAGAGTATGGATGTCCTGGTGTAGAGCTGTGTTGGATGGAGAAACTACTTGGGCTACACTGGACCTGGAAGCCCAGGAATATCTATTGAGGAAAGGCTCAGCATCCCCCCCAAAAGTGCAGCATCTCATCCTCATGATAGGAACAGGTTGGAGAGGACAGCTCTGCAAATGTGCAATGACGACTTCTGCTTCTTGCTGAAGCTTTTCCCCCCCTTCCCTCTTTCTGAAAAACCTGGCTTTATTCGCATGCATAATCTCAAATAATCCCAGGGATTTTGTGATTTTCTTGTGCAGATGGGGGGCAGGGATTAAACCTTCATCCTAATAATCTCATTCTCCAGATAATCCCTTTGCTTTCATCTCCCAGTCAGCCCTGGGAAGGCCTCCAAATAGCCCTGCAAGACAATATGGAACAAGCAAGGCTCCATCTGTCTCCTTTCTCTGTTAGGGTCTCTCTGCTAGTCAGGATAAGACCCACATCCTCAGACTGCTATCTCCAAACATCTGTCTGTAGTTTAGCACAACTGCAGCTCCTCTAGATGCCCCTAGTCTGATCTCTGCTGTCACCAAAAGCCCTGATTCTCCTTCCCAAAGGGACTGTGTTCCCCACCTTCCAGGCACCCTGAGTTCCCATCATTCCTAGAGATGCATTCTGGCTCTGCTCAGCCTCTGCAGCGAATGCTTGGGGTCCCCACCAGCCCTGCCCTCCTCTCAAGTGATGGGAGGTTTTACCTGTGCAAGATACACACAGGTGTGACTCCTAATGGAACAATGTCAGCTCAACTGCTGGGGAACAGGGACAGCTCAAGGGACTGGAAAGACAATACTGAAATCCAGTGTAAATACATCCTGCATCAAAAGAGGTGGACAGCTGTGGATCAGTAAAAGGATATAGAGCCTTTCATGTCTGTGGCACAAGTTCATGTCTAACATGCTAGTGACTGAGTTGTTATCATGGACAGGTAGATGTCCAGTGACCTGAGCAGGTCCCCCTTGTCCCCCCCAGGAGAGCCACAGAAGCAACAAGCCTGATGGGCCAGGGGTGTGAACCCCTGAATTGGAATGTGAATCAGTGAATACTCACCAAGTTGTCTGGCACAAGGAAAGATACTCTAACTATGGAGGGCAGGGGGGAGAGGAGGGAGCAGCACACCACCTTTACTTTTCCCCTGTTCACAGCAGGGCTTGGTAACCCTCTGTAAGACAGATGTACCATAGAATTCACAAGAAGAAAGTTTATAAAAGGCTACTAGTCTCCAAAGCCCCTCCAGCACTGCCCATCCGGCACCCATGCTCACACACATACACCCCACCCCCCAACAGGAGGGAAGGAATGCCAAGGCCTATGTCCCCATTAGAAGCGAGAGACAATGGGCCAGGTTGTTGGGCAGCTGGTGAGCTAGGCCCTGGGATTAGATTTACCGAAGTTCTTAGGCCCCAGCTGCTGCCAAACTGCCCCTTCAGGTTGCCATATCCAAAAGTTAGAACCTCAAAGCCCCTGCTCACTTGCTGCCTGGCTCCGCAAGCGCCCAAGTTTGTGCTAGGAAGTTCCCAGGGCTGCAAATGTTTTCTGAGCATCCCCAGAATTGCCGGGATCAGGGCTGTCTGATTTCTTGGTGGTTGGGGGCCACACACCTGATGGGCCGCATCACCACAAACTATTGGATCCCTGGCCCATGTGAGCGCTCCCCTTGCTGCACCCCCCCTGTCCTGCTGCACCATGTGTACACATCCTGTTTCCTCTTCCCTTGCTGTGCAGCACAGGTACCCTGCATGGCAGGCTCCCTGAGGCTGTGCCATGCCATCCTGCCCTGATCCCTGGGGCAAGGGCAG